CCGGCCCTGCCCGCGGCCCCGGGGGGCGGGAGCGGGAGCAGCGGCGGGCCCTTTCCCCGGGGAAAGGGGCTGTGGCTGGAGGGCGGCTTTCCGAGGCGGCGTGAGAGAGCGGGGAGGCCCAAGGCACCGCGCCGCTTGCAGGGCCGCGGCGTCGTTTTGTGCGGGACAAGGTACACCCGCGTGCCCGCCCGCCCGCGCTTAACGTAGCCGGAGCTGCGGGGTTTCTGTTACGCGGGTTTTACTCTGGCTGATGTCTGTACTCCGAGGTTTGGTTTGGGAGAATCTGCGGGGGGTGGGGGGTGTGTGTGTGTGTTTTCGACTACCTTTTAAAGGATTTCTATTTTGCAGATAGAAAGCTTAGACAAGAGCCTAGAGGATTTGCTGACCAGAGTGGATGAATTTGTGGGAATGCTGGACATGGTATGTATAACTCGCACATAGTTATGTTTTTGAAGTCAGAATAAAGTTTTTTATGTATTCTACCTCATTTAAAAACATGAGATGTGAAGCAGCCTTTGGTCTAGGCAGACAGGTTCCAGTATGAGAGCACGCTTGATAATTAGGTAACTCATGGATGAGAACTACTGAACTTTCATGTCGGAGCAAAATATGCCCATATAGCTATATAACTGCATATTTACATAATCCTGTTTGTATATTTGTCCATGTACATACATGGAATCCAGTTTCGAATGGCATAGTGATACATGCTTAAAAGGACAATGCGATGTTCTGCTTCTCCTTTAAAATACATAAAGACATCCTCTCTGGATTTTGTAATCAAAGTATCTAACCAGAGTTGCCAAGCCTCCAAAGCCAGATTTGTCTTTAGGGAACCTTTTCTTACCCTTTCATCAAAAAGGCAGCTTTGTTTTCACTTTCACATGGGAGGAGACAGGGAAACTGAGTGGAAAGTTTCTATAAGCTGACGTGGGTATACAGGCTGTCTTGTAAAGCGTAGCACGTGTGTTTCACCTGCGCTATTCTAAGATGAACTTTACTGGGGTTTGTTTTGGTTTTGGTTTTTGGTTGGTTGGTTTTTTTTAAGCAATTTAAAAAAAAAAGATTCTGTGGCCTATTTTTTCTTAGCAAAGTTGAAGAAACATACAGGTAGTAAAATTTAAGTAAAAATTTGGGGTTTATATATTTGATTTTTTTTAATGTCTCTTGGGAAATGTTCCATCTCTTCATTCTGATAAGGCTGAGGCAGCCTTTTTTAATATAATTACAAAGGTGAATATTTGCCTATGCAAAATAAATGTTGTTCAAAAGCACTTGCTAAACTGTACTAAGATGCTATCTTATTAGTTTTAATCTAGTATTTTTGTACTAACACTGATCTAGCATTTTTAAACTATGAGTTTTCATCTGTTAATTGGAGCACAGTTCTAGTTTTGGGAATAGAACCTACTACTTGACATTCTGTTGTATTCATTGACTTTTGTATTATTTCTTTGAATCATTTTAGATTCGAAGTGATTCCTCTCAAGTTGTTAATGAAAGTATACCTCAAATTTACACAAAAGCTACAGAAATGAGACAGATATACAGGAAGATTGACAAACTAGAGGTATGTATTTGATATCTTCTAGATGTATTCTGTTTCTCAACAGGGGAGGAATCAATGATATGCTGTAATTGTGTGTCTTGTGCATGTGCATGCACGTGGAGTGCGTTCAGAACCATTTTGCTCTCCGTGTCCAATCTGGGTTCAATACTTCAGGGTTAATGAAGAGAACACAATTTATTAAGAATTTCTGGAGACTACGGGCATTCTAAAACAAAATCCCTTTTTTAAAAAAATTGTTTTATTTTTTGTAGTTACTGCTTGAAGCGAGGCAGCCATCTTTCTTTTTTCGGAAAGTAATAGTACCTCTTTTTCTTCTTTTTTGTTTTGTTTTTGTTTTGTTTTTTATAATATCTTTCAAAGTTATTGTCTTGGGAGCTATTTGGAGACTAGTTGAATAAGAGGTCTGTTCATCCCTGGTAAAGCTTCAAAATGGCGATCCAGATCCTTGGTCCCACTTTTAGTAGAAGGGTAGATAGACGTATAAATTAGTTATTTGAAAGGCAAATAGGAAAAGGAGGACCGATTGTTTTATTAGATTTAACCTGTTTTTGCAGCCTTTTAAGTATCTCAAGTAATTTTTAGCAATAAAATGGACTTGTAGGTGGAAGGGAAGTAGAGCTTGGAGTTTTTGACTCCTTCTCATTTAAGTAATGGAACTTTGACCACTGTCAAGCAGTACATAATCCTGTTCTGATTTGTTAGTGAAAAAGTTGGATTTCTTTTCGTTTTTTCACACTAGGCTTTTGTGAAGATGATTGGAAATAGCGTAGCTGGACTGGAGGAACGGGTTGTAAAGGCAGAAACAGACCTCGGAGCTTTTCCAAGCACATTCAAGAAAATCTTGCACACAATCAGCATACCATCCTTCCTTAATGTAAGTAAGCTTTTGTTACCATGTGACCAGCTTAGTTGCTCTGCTTACCAGAGTGGGTGGTTAAAATAATAGTAAGTTTGTTGCACGTATATCTGAATTTAACTGTAAAACTTTCATATACTGTATTAGGATTTTGCAAAGTTCTCAGGCTTATTAAAAAACAAAAACAAACAAAAAAAAACCCAACCAAACTTAAAAGTCACAAATTCTTACAAGGATTTGTGTAACTTTCCAAAATAAGGCTGAATACACAAAGAAGGGAATGTGAAGAGCACAAACAAGCACATAATGAACAAGCCATTATATTAAAGCACCCCTGATCTCTGATGGTATGCAAAGCAAGTAGGAAGAGCCTGTACAGACAACGCTGTTAAAGAATCGTGCTGCATTAAGAATATCACTGCAGAAATGTTACCAAAAAAGGAAATGAAAGCTGCACTGCACAATATTTTTAAAATAGAGGTTCTGTTTGTACTCAGTCCGTGCAGCTCAGTAATCATGTAAGCACCTTGTTAAACTTTCTAAGGGTGCAATTTTCTTTGCCTTTCCTCATTACTGTGTGTGGACTGTTTCTCTACAGAAGACTTAAAGTGCTCTCTCTAGTGTGTTTCAAAGAGATGCCATACCTAGCCTTAAATACTGGCACTATGCCCTAGTTTTAAAATAACCTTCTGGGTTAAAAAAAAAAAAATTAATCTTCTGAACCACCTGATGCTTCTTGGCATCACCTGCCGATACACCATTTATAAGTACTCCTCCTTGTGTCTTGTCAGCTCCCAGATTCTTTTCTTTATCTTTTCCTGTATTCATCCTGTACTAGCTCAGGTTTCTGTATCATAATACTGGTGAGAATACTGAAATAAAGGAGGTTTGCAGAGCAGGAGAGGAAGATGGCTGTGACTGTGGAAGCATTTGTGTTCCTACATAGTGCAAGCACATGTGGCAGCAGAGAAAAATGGTTGTAAAAAGAATATGTATTGTCTTGGTAAGACTCAGTTCAGGAAACCTGTTCTTCACTGCTGTTTTCTGTGCAGTCTTTAAGTTAGTGAACTTCTCATTCTGTCATTTTCTTTGGTGTTGAAGTTTAAAGTGATGTCATTTTTTCTTAAAAAAAACAAAACAAACAAACAAAAAACAAAGCTGCTATTTATGGGCCAATTGCAGAAACAAACAACTGCAGCAGTTGTCTTGGAGCATATTCAACAGTGTTTTCCATTTTGTTGCTAAAACCAGTTGTCAACCAGAGAATTATAATCTTTAACTGAAAAGTTTGAAAGTCCGGACAAAGTGCTTTTTTAGTGTTGCACGGGAACACTTTGTCAGCTTAGCAGTTTTTCCACAATTAAGAAGGTGGAAAAGTCTTTGAAAGTGTCAATAGGCTGAACCTGGCATGTCCAGCGCTTTCTTGGTTTGGGTATGGATAGCAATCACCCCTCAGAGCTCACTAGTATTAATTGATGAACTAAAAGGCAGGTCACTGTTCCGTAGCGGTACTGAGTATTGCATAGTTAAATAGCTGTTTCCAGTAGTAAACACAAGCATGTCTGAATGCAAATGCCTACCGAGAGAGATTTCTCCTCATGCCTAACATTCAATCAGCTCACTCAATATATCAGTCCTTCAGAAAAGAAGGCTATACCAGTGCCATGATTTTCACTCTAGTTGTAGTTCATATTTTCCTGCTACAATCTTAATTTAGTCAAGTTCTCTCACTCTCTTCCCATTTAAATGTATCTGCTTCTTTACACAAAGGATCTCTTTTGTATTTCTTAAGCTGTGTATTTGTAATCTCACTTTCAGATTTTGCCCCAAGTTCTTCCCTTGTGAATACCAGGCAGTGTAAAGTACAGTACTGTAAGACTTCTAATATCATTAAGGATGTAGACTCTCTCAAAAGGTAAAAACGTCTGCTAAGCAGCTGCAACAATAACTATTCATAAAGGTGTACTTAGGGAACTGTGGGTACTATGCCTGCCTATGAATTTCCTCACTGGATTGAAATTATCTTGCACGTACGCAAATACAGTGCCTCTTCAGTCGGTGTCGTGAGTTGCAGAATGACCTTAGTTTCCCTTGCTTGCAAGGTGTTTTCTCATAGGGCAGTACAGGATAGGAAACAATTTTTAAAAACAGAACTTTGAGTTCAAGGATTGTTTTTACATTTGGCAAAATTTCTGATACAGAGAACATTGATAATATCCGCTATTTATAGATCTGAACTTTGTTTGTATTTTTTATTTCATTACAACTTGAATGGAAAAAGAAACGTATTTCAGAGAAATTATTGGTATCGTAAAGTTAAAGACAAATATAATTTAAATGTCATAAATCAGCAATTTTGTATATAGCAGGAGAATATGTACTTATTTCATATGGAGTACAAGTATACCAGCTCAACTGAATACTGGAAAAATTCCGCTTAGCTGTTTTGTAGGTATGCTTCATTATATCCTCATTTTGGTACTGTAAAAGCATTCCAAACTCAAAGTATACTAATGATATTTGGTATGCTTTTAACTTTATTATTGGTGAAGACTCTTAATTTCCTCATCCCAGACAGGCAAAAAAGTACCTGAAGAATTCTGCAGACAAACTGACTGAGACCTCTGCAAAATAGTTCATCAAAATCTTTTCATGAATCTAAAAGAATTTTTAATGAATGAAGTCTTGATTTCAAGCCTTCTATTTAAGACCACAAATATTGAAAACACACACTTGCTCCGTGTGGCGGTGCAGCATCATTTACGTGCAGGAAGGCTGACACAATAGTCAGTAGTGGTCCTCGCTGTTGTCTTCTTAAATGAGCCGTTTGGTATAGCAAAACACTGTACAGTTAATATTTAAAAGAAACACATACACTCTTCCTGAAAAACAGCCTAACAGCTCTTTTCCAGTCCACTACCATATTATTGTTAATGGTATGTTATAGTGCATATATTCTAACATACACTTGATGAAGAAGCTCAGCAGGAGCAGCAACCTTCTCGAAAGAAACATTTGCTAGGTGTGTTTCCATCTGAAGACTTTTTTAACTAAGTAACTGAGAACACAGGCTAGGGTTAACTCAAAGGAAGCGGCTGAGGAGAACTCGAAGGCTGGAGCAGGAAAGGTAAAGGTATATGGCTCTGGCAGGATGAAGGTTACAAGGACTATACCATCAGCTGGAGAAGATGACCCGTTTGGCTCCTGCAAAGCTGGCATGTCATACGCTTTCCAGGACTGCATCTGTTCAGGTGACAGAATGGCAAAAGTCAAAGGCTGCTTTTCTTCACTAACATTAAGAATATGCCAGACCCATCTGAGCTATGATTAAAATTCACCTGACTAAGGAGATAGACGTTTAAAAGTTTTCCTGTTTTGCATTTTAGCTGTGTAGGCTTTGTTTTAAAACTTGCTTTTTTAAGGAGGTGAAAAATAAACTTATCTAATTTGCAGAAATCGTCTTCCTCACGACAACAACAGACCCTCTATGAACCTCCAGTCCTCTTCAAGACTGAAGACTATTTTCCATGTCTTAATGAAGCACCTTATTGATGATTTTTGATTTGGGATTGATATGAATCCGCCAGAACAGAGACAGCCAAGTGAACAAAAGAAATGCTAACCTCAGAATAGCTGCGTTTCTGAGCATTACTGATGGCATATTGCCATACTGATTCTCATTGTCTTCCTTCAGGCAGTATTTTCAGGTAATTTGTGTACATTATTTCAAAAGTCTTCCTAAAACACAGTATAAATTTTCAGATTCTAGTGGGGAAGAAACTTAAGAATACTTCTGCATTAGATTTTTTTTTTTAAATATGGAAATATACTTTTATATATAAATCTTTTAACACATAAATGTCTGTGCTGCTGCAAGTGTAAATAGCTATACCACAAGGATGGTGGTTTTTTTTTTTTTGCTAATGTACTGATTGAGGTGAAGGAAAAACTATGCATAAAATCACCTACTCCAAGTTTTGGAACCTAGTCCCTGCAGTTTGTACAGAGAAATGGACGACGTTGGGATGTACAAGTTGCAAGGGGAGAAATTGGAAGATCGGCGAGGAGTCAAGGTCAATGGACGTGATCTACTTCAAGTTCACAAAGCAAACATCCTGCCCCCACTGATGATCATCAGGTCACAGTGACCTGAGCATCTCATTATCGCAGCATTGTATTGTTTGATGTGTAACCAGGTGGGCATGAGAGAGGAGAGAGAGAGAGAGACATATATATGTATATATGTATGACCTGCTGTCAAAAAGGAAAAGTATCTAAGTTGAGGCAGGGATGTCCCTGGACTGAGCCTTGATCGGGCGCCTGACCAGACTGTCTGCTTTTCCCTCACAACCCTCCGTGCGGTTACTGGGGCTCCCCGTGCTGATTGCAGTGTGAGTATATTATCAATAAACTAATAGCTGTCTAACCCCTGTTGTGGTCTTGCGTTTCACCTGACGGTATCGAACTGCACCATTGTTTCTGACAACCTTTTTGCATACAGCCTCATATAATCATAAATTGTTGTATTCCTCTGAACAACGATTTTACCACTGCTGTTTTACTGCCAATATAACTCACTACAACTATCCAAAATTGAAATTTCAGAGGAATAAGGAATGCATTAGGGAAACAACAACATGTCTGCTGATTTTTGTGTTGCAAGCACAGAAAAAGGTCTGCAGTTGTAGAGCAAGGATTATATATTAATAGATAAAGCTTTGAAAACCATATGGTCTTGTCTCCCAACAGCAGCAGGGACCAGGTTCTAAATAGCACCTGAAGCAACATTTAGTAAAAATTAAAGATTGGGAAGTCAAAATTAATAGGCTCCAAAAGCAGTTGTAATGTAAGATTTACCTGAATTTTAACATAAAGAGTCTAGAAGAATAATTACATGTGAGTATGAAGAAAGGAACAGACATTTGACTTTGAAGAAGGTCTCCTGCCCCTGCCTCCCGTACTCCTTGCTTTCATAAATATTTTGCTATTTGGATGTTGCACTGCAGCAACAGTTGCATTTCAAAAAGGTGTGGTACCTTTCTAGTTTGTCCATAATAATCCTTGAAGGCTTATCGCTCCTCAGTGAAATCTAATGAAATGACATACCTATAACTTAGTGTAGCAACATAAAGCTACAGCCAAATACTCTTAAACACACTAACACTGACGTTACAAAAAATTTTAAAGTAACTTTAGAAGAGCTTTCTAATTCAATGAATCAACTGCTCAAATAACAACTTCGCCCTCTGCTGAATGGAGCTAAAATGCAGTTATTTTTAAGCATGATATAATTAAAAATATTAAAATAAAGATCTGAGAAGGCTTATACAGCTGAGCATTTGTCACACAATATTGTTCATATTAATAAGAAAAAATTCAAATACTCTGAAGTGGGCATTTATGTTAAACAGTTGTACGGAAAATGTAAGTTATCTCTTCAAAGCACACCACAAACAAAAATCATGCATTTCCTAGAACTAGTACAGTTTTATGTTGGAAATGTTCCAAAATATTTTTATTACTGAAAATAATGGACGGTATATGGAAGATGTATTAAGGCAATGCAGTAGAAGTACAGACAATAAATAAATCGTGGCTTTTTTTAATACAGGATGGAGAATAACAAGGTCACAGTTCATCTGTGAACTATAGTCTAGCAAAGTTACAAAAGTCAGGTGTTCTCACAATACTGACAAGATCCACGCGTGCGCTCTGCTGTTGAACTGGTACTGCCTTGGCTGTCTCCTTGTTTGTGGTCAGTCTCACCAAGCAGGAATAGCATAAAAAAGATCCCAAGTGTTCACACTCAGTAAAGACAGACTCACAAAATATTCCTTTATTCTGTCTGCTGTTGTTACCTTGTCTTAATGTGAAACCAGTAATAACTATATTATGAATTAGGCTCAATATTTCCTATTTTTGCCAGCTGCAAATAAAATCTAAATATCAAAACCCACTGATAGCGATCCTCACGTGCCCAGAAAGCTGCACGTGGATCTTTCTCTGCGCAATGTTTACCTTTCTCCTCTTGCTTGGGTTCCAAGATAGGAAGCCAGTAACAATAGCACTACATTACCTGTTTTTAACACGAAGAGCTCTTCAGGTCGAACTGATGTAACGCGAGACGTGCTTAATGAGCTGAGCTGCTCAAGGCTGGTTATCCAGTGTATGAAATGAGCTAATGGTTAATGTCAAGGGAAGAGTCTACACACAAAGCTTACTTTTCTTCGATGACATGAAGCAAAAACTTTGAATTTCACCTAGCAGAGAGAATGCTAGAAGTTTTTATATTCTTAGGTACGTTTTAGGCAAGCGTCTAATTGAAACTAATGCTGCGGCATACTAAAAGATACCTGTTTACCGTGAGGTGTATGTGTATATACAACAAAAGCTCCATTCACAAGATATGCAGGATGGACTGAATGTTAGAGGTCCACATTTTTCATAGCTCCTGGACAAAAATCAATGTGATCTGTCTTACCTAAGTATTTAGTTACATATGCCTGAAGTAGGCACATAAAGATGGATATTTGTGTTTAATTATTTTTGGGCCTAGGCATTTTGTTCCACTCGAGCAATGCCACTGCAGGTGCTATGAAGCCTAAAGAAATTATAGAAAGATGCACATTACTGACATGAAAAGAAACAGATGCGATGATTTATCTGACCAAATAAAAGAATAAATTGTTTAAAGATTTAAAGGTGCACTGGATTACATTGACATTATCAAAACCCCTAGCAGTTCATTACTTCTGCTGACAACAACCTTCAAGGTTAAGTAGTTTTACCTGCAATACTAAGAAATCGGTAGCAAGCTTAATTTGGATTCTGTCCTGCACAGGAACTGTTTCCAAATACCAAGATCTTGAGTTGTAGAGAGTGATCCTGAGTGAGTGCAACACCTTCCAGAATGAGAAAGAAGAGCAAGATAGCTTGCATCTACATCTAAGAAGAGAGCTTTGCATTTGAAAATGGTAAATATTTTAAGGTTCCCTTACCAAAAAAAAAAAAAAAAAAAGGTATCTTTAAGTGATGACACTTTTAAGCTCCCTCAGTTTTTACAGAAGAAAATTCTAGTCTTGGAGCAGCTACCGAGAAAATCCCCTATGCCCCGACAGAAGCCCTGCCTCGAAAAGCCGAAATCCCTGTCAGATGTAGCCATGGTCACAGAGGACCGTAGTGGGGCTTGGTCATCTCTCCAGCCACTGCGGCTGAATCCATCAGGAATGAGGAGTCTTCAACCGCAGGGATTCCCAGCCGTGTCGGAGCTCGGTTATGGGGCAGGCTGGGCTGCAACAGCAGAGCAGAGGCCCTGTCCGCTCCGCTGCTTTTGTTTATTCTGCTTCAAGCCGATGGGTGGTAGCACAGCCTAAAGGTGGGAGTACGGCCTCCCGCTCCAGCTGATCTCGGAGGTTTAGGGAATGTTCTTTACCTTCTTGCTTGATGCTATCTACTCACAGACTTTTAATGCTGGTCATTTTTATGATTTTGCAAAACAATACAAGTATTCAAATTATGCATGATGATCGATGCCTTAGAAGTGCTAAGTAACAAGCAAAGAAGAAAACAGGGAAGCAGAAGGTACTGCTCATGGCCAGTACTGAACAGCGCTGGTGAGGCAGAGTGCAGTCACCTGTAGATACATAGTTTGAAAACGAAAAATTGAAATAACGCCTTTGGAATTACATCAGACAAAAGGATAAGACAGGAAACCCGAAGTATCCTGTCTAAAATCCACATGTAAGACCCAAAACATCATTTAATTATTGTCAACTTTAATATTGGCTGTACATTATTTGATGGGCTATTAGTTTAAGTAATAGTAAAAAGACATTAAAATTACATAAACAGTCATAAAATGTGATGTTTTCAGTCAAATGTGCTATCTATACAGGATCTTGAATAGTTTTAAAAAAAGTATATTGAAAATATAGGTATATAAATGAGCTGACAGAGCTAGGAAAATGAACTGAATGTTGGCGAGGATTCCGTTAGAGGGTTCTGAGTGAAAAGACAAAGGGACAGAATTTGGGGGGGGGAGGGGGGGGAAGCACTTGCTGAGTATCAATGAAGAAAGAAAAGAAAGATAAGTTTCCAATTTTATTTATCATCTCCCACTGTTCAGAAACCGTAGGTTTCTTGAGAATAGCTTGATGCCTACATTATTTAAAAATACATTAATCGCCATCTGTTTCTTACAGGTGACACTGTCAGGATTTTCTTCACAAGCAAGTGGTCTACAAAGCAACCTTTAAAAAAAGAGAAAGCAATAGCTGAAATTCCTGCAATCCCAGGGCTTTAAAGTGAGAGCTGGCACTGAGTGTGACAGGAGCATCTGAAATGTTCCTCTGAACATCAGTCAATCTAGAAGGTTTGCAGAGAACTGCAAACTGGCATAAAAGCTGGTTCAGATTGATTCATACCAAAAAAAAAAAAAAAAAAAAAAAAAAAAAAGGAATGGTAAGAGCCTCATGCGGGAATGGAAGAGGCAGAAAATAGCATAGCCAGGAGACAAGCCAGGGCAAATGCTAAGGCGTAAACTTGTGGTGACA